ATAAGCTGTCAGGGGGCCCACGTATGGGCCGACCATAACGATATCGTGCTGTTTTAGCCGCAAAATTATTTGAAACAAAGTAATGACTTGCCCATATTGTGTTTGAGAAAAACACACCAATTCAGAGCAGACAAATTAACAAATTTGGCCACCCATACTAAAAACCACTACGGTAAATTCGTTCCTTTTATAACTACATCTCGTTGGTTAACAAAAAGACATACCTTAAATCAAGCCTTACATCACTATATCCCTAAGAAACACCATCTCAAATAGTAAAAACCCCTTTCGAGTGAGCAGCCTTATGTACCAAATTTCTTTGGTTGGAAACTTTGCGATATATTTGGAGGAAACTGAATTTTTTTAGTGCACAGTTGAGATTTTGACACTGAGTTATTTGTGAGGGTAAGTGGATTGACTAAAAGGAGGTACAAAATCTTAGTCACTTAAGACACCAACAACGGACAGGCAAACCATTTCCACAATGTGTGCGAGTCAACATGTCCGGACCAATCGCTACTCAGTTCACCATGTTAAATGTCAAAACAAGTGTCATTTTACCCCCCGACCGACTGTTGATACCCTCGGCAGCAGCCTAAGATTAGCGTGAACCCCATTGCCAAAATAAAGTTGGATGTGTTGTCTCCTGTATTTCTTCACCCGCTACTCTGTTACCGGTCAACACCGATGGTGCCACTTACCCAAAAAGTGTTGAACAATCTATGGGTCAGTCAAACTTTGGCTTGATTTTTGTCGAAAGGGTGAACAACTCTTGTCTCTCTGGTCCTTATACACAACATGGTCCTGTATCGGATTCAACAAAGGCTCGTTTTTTTTCATTCGTGTAAGGAAAAACAGCGTTCAGATCACAGTTCCGGCCTCCACGAACACAGTTGCAAGACTACGTGTCAGTGGTCCAAATGTCGGACCCAAATCCCTTCTTCCCCACTATGACTGTCTGACTAGCCATCCGCACTGATCCACCCACACTCTGTATAACAGGTTGAGTATAAAGTTGAACGAACCCCATAACTTGAATCTTGGGAAAAGAAGACTACCATCAAACTAGTGGTCCCGATTGTAAATTCGGCTTAGTTAGTTCATTTATTATGAAGTAACCTGAAGCATTTGTGATCACGTGCAGGGACAAGACAGTCAGCGCAATTACGTTACCTACACTAGTTTTTTCCAAGCTCCAAGCTCCTCCAAGCTCACTGTAGATACTTCTGCTAGACGAAGGTATGGGTTCACAAAGACTGCGCCGTAATTATGATTGACTTCCACAGCTGAAGACGTTTAGCTTCCCCAGGTAAGGAATTCTACTTGAAACTTACCTAATCCTTTAACACTACGATCAACTGAGGGCCAATCTTACTACTGTTTATTCATTCATGGCCGAAACGCCCAAAGTTTAACCACTGGCTGAAAGGTGAATGGTTCAAGACTCTTTGAGTTTCGTGAAACGCACACTGCTGGAGATTCTCAATAGAAATCAAACAGCTATAAATTTTCTCCAGGCTCTCCTGAATAGGCTGTTTTCAATGACAACATGAAGACACGAAACTGTTTCAGCAGCATGTTTCGGTAAACTGTCGACATGTTACAAAACAGTTGCGCAGTCTGTTGTTCTTGGTTTGCAACAACTTCACAGCAAAGATTGTCAGTTGTCCCAATAGTTTAACTTTGGCAGAGACATAAACTAGAAAACAGAAATCAGTAATGGTGTATTTTCTGGGGCTTAAGATTGCAGGTCATTTAGAAATGAGGGGATTGTTAAAGAAGTCCCGAATATCCAGTATCCTCATATTGCAACTTCTGAAATCATTCACGGTGCCATACCAGATTTTACTCTCCAGAGCTCATCCTGCATCTAATGACACTTATTAGAAATTGAAGACCAAAGCGGAACAAAAGTGCATAAACATTAGTTGCTTGCTGACGACAAAATCCTTCCTACGGTAACGGAACTATTCACAGTTAACAACACTGCCTTGCCCCGCTGCATTCAACAAGTTATTCACCATATAGCAGAGTCCAGTTGTCGGTTTCTCGTTCTTTGCCGACCCATAGTCTGTGCTGATCGATCGTTGTGAGTGATAGCTTGCTTCACTAACCAATAATGTTTCCAGACTGATCAGTGTGAACCTGTTTTCAGCTTAAGTGTTGCACGTTAACATCATTCGATGTATCAATCGATCAGCTGAAAATTTCACATTCCAAGTCCTACTGTGTGGTGTGTTCTTTCGAAAGACATAAATTATATCATGTCACATGGTATCGGTATGAGCACGTAGAATAAGCCCTAAATGTGTGATAGTGCAGTTTAGCCATCGAACGCCGAACAAATCCTGGTCTTCCCGGTCATCAGAAGACTGTTGAGACCTCCGGCTCTGTGAGCAATTCCAGCAAAGTTTTCGGGTACAGAAATTTCGATCCCCCATTAAGCCTCACCAAAGAATGACCGCCCCCATATATACAGCAAATTTTCTTCCCACGAAATAAATAGAAGCCCTCAAAGAAGTCCCCCACAGTCCTCTGAGTGAGGACTGGTGGAATAGGGGCCATTCTAGCAAAACACCGATCTAAGTTTCTCCTTACCATATACAACAAATTCATCTCGACCCCATTATAGATACTGAATGCCTAGTTAGCTAAACCGTGACCTCAATATACGCTGTTTATGCACAGAGCACGCAGGTGCATTTTCAGGGTAAATTATGGTCCTATTTCCGTCCGTAATCAATGAGCACCAACTGATTACGCTGATAAGACTATCAGTAACAATGCCACCCTTTGTTCTGTTGTTAATCATCACTCAGACAACGTATGCCTGCCACCATACACAAAGTGGCCTATTACCAGACGTTGGGAGTAGTTTTGAGATTGATTCCGGTAGGTTTCAACACCCCTCTTGGGCAGCATTACTACAAAGTACGTTATGTCTGTCACGAGGACCTCCATGGGTATATTTCCAGAAGCTACGGATATGGTGGGAGATGTTTGAGGGGATAGGGTGTCGACATACGAGAGTGATGGTGTCGTGAACTCCGGTAAACAACGAGAGTCGAAATTGGACTACGGCCGTTTTTAAATTCGCTTTTCAGCGCACCGTGAAAGGTGTACACTGGTCTTATAAAGTATGAGTTGGTGATTGTACTCCAGTGAATTGACGATTCCGTGGCGTAGAGCACAGAATGGAGGACTGACATCCTTGTACAGATTGCAAATAAAACCAGGTTTCTCTTTCATCAGAAAAGAAAGTAAAGGTCACTAGTACAGTCGAAACAGACATATACGAAAGGACGATCTAGGTTCGTTGGAAGTTTTAAAAAAAACATTAGAGCGAACACGAAAGTGAAGTGGTCTACCAGCACCTACACAAATATGGTTTGTGCCGGAGATTTGATACGACTTCTCCTCCGTTGACCAAATTGGCGATCGTTTTACCATTGTTCCAACCGGGCTGTTAAAGTTACAACTGATCTGTGTAAAATTTGTTGGTATGTTACATTTACCACTGGTCATGGATATACGGCTCAAAGGGGTGCAGTTTTTGAAGCGTTACTGGACAGCAGTTTTTGAGACATTACTTCAGGAAATTTGGAATACTTTGGAGGGACCGTGGAAACTGGTTAATAGATACGGTCACGGGTGGCCTTGTTTGTACTTAGCTGTGTCAAAACACGTAACCGAATCTCCATACACACACACGAAATAATGTTAGACGAGTACTTGGACTGCATGAAAATCTTTGTCCCACACAACAATTAATTCTAGTAATCTTTAATAGAACCTTTATACGGAGAACGGTTGCAATTCCATATTTTTCTATCATTATAATAAATAATAATTAATGAATTTTAACGCACGTATTTGTGACTACTTTGCTCTATTTCACTTACGATGACGAGTATACAGATTTACTCAATAATAGTTGGGGCTGATGACGATCAACCTGATTTTCCGCCGTGGAAAGGCGTATCTCTTTCTTTGAGTCTAGAATGACGCGTCCAGTGGATCATGAGAATATAGGTAGGGTACGAATTTGGATAAAGGCCATGAGTACCTCACATATGACGGTCATTGAGACGTCAATAAAAGAACGGTGATATATTCAGTATGGTAAGTGGATAGTGACATCTTTTCTTACAAGCGAATATTCGTCCGCTTATCAGTATCTGGTATCCTAAAACTCCTCTGTACTTGGAATAGCACAGAATACATCACTGGAACAAATGAATACATAATTCCACAAAACTAGAATCACTCTAAAATGGAGTATACAGGCTTCGAAACATGTCAGATAAAAATGGAAAGTGTTGGGCACTGTCTGCTCTATATGTTGTCGTAAGGCTCACTCCCATCAAGCCTTTTTCATGGTCTTGCAAAATGAACACCTGAAATTAACTTTCCTATTAATTCAAGTCGTATTCCATAGAGAAGACTGAACTGTCCACCGTTTGATGACTGTTACGACGGAAGGTTCATTCAAACGAGCACGTTACATAATTCGGCTTGAGCATACAGGCTCTTGGCCCATTAACTATCCATGTACTTAATCCAGCGAGTTGGTTGCAAGACAGCGACCAATCCAATTATAGTTCTGTTTCACCCCCGTTTTGCATGTTTCACCAACTGGCTTTTGATCCATTCATTTGTATCTTCTATACTGAACAGGTTAATTGTAATGCGTCGGGGACAAACGCGTCAGCATCATTTGCACTCAATACCAGCTTGTCGTGAAACCAGTTTGTACACGAACATTATTCGATGTAGTGGTGGTGAACATATGAATGAGATTCTCAAACTTCTCCTAGTTGCTCGAGACTATAGATCTTGTCACACACCTTTCTACTCTATAGCAAGCACATATATGCACACAAAGAATGTCTTGTGTCCCGATGCTCGTTTCTACCTAGGGCAATCCATGTGCAGTTTAGTTGTGAAAACGCCTGAGTATATAATGTTGCTTTCTACTGTGAAGTCAGCAGGATCGTACTAGGTGAAGCAGAATGGCACAGGTTCAAACGCCAAAACCACACAAAACCGAATTACACACCACAGAGCAACTGATGATGTTTTTTATGAAACTGGATAAGAATAACGATGGCGTTGTGGATCGAAACGAATTGTTGGATTTCTGCCAGAAGAATAGGGTTCCTCAAAGCGCTGTTTCTGTGAGTTTTCCATGTATAAATTCATTATCTTGGGTTTCTTCTGATTAGGACTTCTTCCAGAAGCATTGAAAATTAGAGTTTTGTACACGAGCTTACTGCTTGGGCATGTTGATTCATGCGTCCTATACATGTCTCTCGAAGTGTGTGCTTTGCCTTGTTTCAGGAGTGGATGTCACGATTCGATACAGACAATGATGGCAAAATCACATTGAACGAATACTGCAGAGGCCTTGGATTGAAGCGCGAAGATGTGTGAGTTTTGATGCAACCATTCTCCGGATTTTGTGAACTAAGGCATTTAAGGTTATTTTCGTAAACACCGAAATTTCTCAGAAAAGATCAGCTTTGGTCGTCCCAGTTTCCAACGATATTCGATGAATTTTGACTTTGCCCAAAAACGCCCTCTAACATGGCGATGGTACCCCTTCATGATTTATATCCATGGTTTTAAATCTGATGCCGTTATACAGATCGTTTAACATTTTTATACTTCTAATCCACTTAGATTCTTTTATTCTGCAATAGGATCAAAGAGAAAACCGAAATACGCAGCCAACAAGAGCGACAAGATTTTGGCGAGGTTCTTACTTTTCCTGACATTGAAGTATTGCACACTTCAATGACTTGGGCCAAGCAGGAAGACATTGTAAACAAGTACAAAGCATTGGTAGGGTCGGGCGAACCGACGGAAGAGAAAATGAACCAGGTTGTGGATGGCCTGCAGAACTACATGAACGACAAATACGGAAAAGTTTGGCAATGTGTTATTCTGACTGGCTCATTCTGGATGCGATTCAGCTACGAACCGTTCATGTCTATCCAGTTCAGACACAAGAACAAGTTTGTCGTACTGGCCTGGCGTACGAACCGGACGTAAAGAAGACTGGGTCTCGTATGGAGTACAATCAAAACAGGACTTGAATTTACCACACATATACTTACTTGTGCTCATTTTACGGTTTTCCATATTTAAATCGCATTGAAGTATTGAAGATGTACGAAATTCTAGTACAATAAAGTGCGATTTTTTCATGGACCTGACGTTCTGAACCTTACACTTGGAAGCGGTGGAATAAGACAGCTGATTATCATGTACCCAAAGCCACAAGATCCAGATGGTAGGAAGACACGCACAATTTTAGGTTATTCGAACAGTAAAGATGGATTTACGTGAGAGATATCGGATGGAGTAATAAGGAATTTGAGTGAATAGATTTGCTGCACAAAACTTGCTATCTTGTTAGATAATAGAAGATAATAGAAGAGAGATTGATCGACTGAAGTCAGGTGAGGCGTTTTTGGTCAGGAGTTATTCGGTAAATGATAATGTTGAGTTACGAGTGATTCTATGGCTGCCCAAGAATCGTGGGTTTTCTGTGCTTCAAGCAGTTAGAGGTGAGTCTGGCTGTCTTTTGAGAGAGGCGTCAATCCTTTTTGCCACTGTTGACGTCATCGCACATGCAAGTGAACTGATAGTTGGTATGAGTGGAATAGATAACACGCTTTTGTAGGTCAGCTGACTTTGAAGTTAACACATTTGTGATAATTGGGACCCAGAGCTGCTGTTAGGTCGGTCTAATGTTTTTTTTAACAATGGACTTTTACTTCACTTTAACCTTGTCATAAAAGTGTTGCTTCGAGCAGTAAACCTGGTAAATTCTGGTTTTTAAATTTCCTACTCGGATTCACATTGCTCTGTGAGAAAATACCGTCCTCCGGTCCACACCAAAGAGGAAACGCCCTGAGATTGGTTATCCAGATGCCTTGAATAACGATCTAGTGACTCTGGTGCGCGTATCGATCAACTGACGCGCCAGTCAAGTCTTTCGATTCATCTTGTATAGTCCAGAACTTCATAGTGATGAACAGTTGGTCCAAATATTCGCTCTTAGACAACAACCCTGCCTGAGCTACAAATGCACTCTATTCAATCAAACAAGCTCAAAAATATGCCCCGGTCAGACAAAGGACAACCGTAATAAAATTGAGTAGCATGACAGAGGAGCGCAAAAAGTAATCGACTCATTCCGCTCCTTCGGTTGTAGAATGCCTAGTGCATTTGAAAAGTATTATGGTCTATCCAGCAAGCAGTGCCATTTGAGATTCCTTGACTAATTTCTTGCTTCGAAAGATATATTTTGGGCGTCTTTAAGGGATGCAATATGAACGACCATACTAACTGCTTGACAATGCATACGAACGACTGGACTTTATCTGTTAAAGTACATATTACTTAGCTATGACTTGCCAATTGATACTTCACCAGACAGTTTTTCCCCAAATCTGGTTCCATTCATACTGCACAATATCAGCCTGAACCGGTTGTACGTACACTATTGCCTATGAAGGGGGTACGACCTGATATATTGAATGTCGGCATGAGTAAACACAGAGGGCAGTTATCAAAGTACGGGCTCGATTAGAGATGTCACAGATAAAAACTTCACTCAAATTTCGGTTACATCTCCCTGGTGTAATCACTAGCAAGTGAGCTGCCATTCAAAGTCGGTGGATGCGTAAACCAACAGTTGTTTTCGGAAGTGGAAAAGGAATGTGAATTTTGCAAAATGAAATATTTTGACGAAGCCTGGTAGCCACTGAAAAACTCTTTCGCCCTTTCTCATAAATATGCGAGAAGGGCACATCTTGCCAGCTGGGGCAAGGCAAAAAGTAAGGTAAAACTGAAGCTACAGTCTTCTCAGTTCATGAGGATATCCCGGGCGTTTGATACTAATTGTCTAGAGACAAGTATCACAGGTCGAGAGTAAGAAGTGCGCTCACCGTCAGTGCATTAATCCGGGAAAGCGCCAGCCTGACAGCCAAACACGCCAGTGAGGCCAGACGTCACAGCAGTCTATCGGATTAAAAGCTGTTGACTCACTGTCAGTTAGGTTGCCCGTTTCAAAGAAGCTTCTGGAATAAAACGGCAGTTAACGTTGCTCACTTGTGATTCAGCTGATGGATTTAGGTCAAGAAGGTTTCGAGGAGATAAAACCCACCTAGGTGCTGAATCGTTCTCCATACTTCCCTTTGTTCAGAATCTCTATGCTTCCCTTAAAGCGCATGGGTTTTCCCGTATTTTTGCACATGCTTAGATTAATAACATTTTGATGGGTAGGCTAGGCCAAATGAAACTTTCCACAAAATGCAAAATCCAACGGAAATCTGTCCAGGAATGCTCACTATGGACTCTCCTAAAGGGAACTTCTCTCCAGGGACTTCTCTTACAGATTCACCACAGCAACCTAATTTCCTGACCTAAAGAGCTCTTTCGAGTTAAGTTTTAACGTCACACAGGGTAAGTGTCACTGAAAGACACGTTCGTTAGTAGAAGGACGGGTAAAATTTGTCAGCTTGACTCTCCTTACTACACCTGTTGATTCTATCATCTAACTAGTGCAGCTTGACAGGCAAACCTGAAATTCAAGTGCATAAACTTAGTAGGAAAGGAAAATCCGTAGAACTGGTTCTGGGGGTCAAAGAATTTTGTTACTCTTGGGCTTCAATAAGGTATAGTTTTAAACAGAGTGTAAAATATAAGCTGGATCATAACTAAATGATGTACCCAACCGTGATCCAACGTAGCGAGCACTGAAGGTTAGCCTGTTTTTTTAAAACTTCCCGTACTTCGCCATTCTTTTACAGGAGAAAAGAAGTGGCATATGACCAAATTCAAAAATGTGGATCTCGTACGTGGAAGCACTTAAAAAAACAATGCGATGTCAAAAACATACCGAATAATATTCCTGAGGTGTGTCATGTGGGTCAACGGTGAATCGCCTACCTGATACATCAGTTTGTGGATATAGTTCACTTGAAGAATGGGATTCAACTATGAACCTCAGATGTCTAGTTGGATGGAATGAGAAGGTGGGAAAATCTTTTGTTTAAATTTAACCTCCTTTTTGGTGAAACACACACCTATTAGAACAACTTCCCGTATGGATGGCACCTTTTCCGCCGTATTTGGCTACATGTGGGTGCAGAGTAAATACGCATCCTAGAACACTTAGTGCAGCGTAACCTCAGTTGTAGGGTCATCGTATGGGTCCCAACGGAGCCTAGAGTAGTTTGCTGTTGTTGGTTGTTCCATGGTCTGCTTAAATAGTTTACTTAAATTTTCAGTAACACTTTACTCTGTTTAAGTGCCGGAAAGTTATCTCCCGACTTTCAGCATGGGTTGGCCTCCCTTTGGGTGGAAAAGTTCTATTAATGACTCCCAAATCTCCATATATTACCAGTAGTCCACATCTTTGAAGCAGTTCAAACGTGAAAAAAACACTTGATCATATTGTAAATATGAGGGAACATTTGATATGAGAGAATGAGATGCTTTCTACTTCCACAAAAATATTGTTCTCAGAACGGGAAGACAAACCGCCACTTAGTCATTTATCAGGGAAACCAGGAGCTGTTTTCTCCCACTTGATGCTAACTGGTATCAAATGAGAACTGGAAGCATGCCTGATGATGTAGTGAAACCAGCCTCTCTATCTGAGCATGCAGGGGTAAAAATATGTGAGGTCTAAAAACAATACGACTCTACATGATCAGCTTGTCAACATGGTGGCGCACGCAGATTTTGTTGTCATTTCAATTTTTCTGCATGGTATATGCGATCTTTATTAGAAGCAATAGGAGACCTAGTATATTCGCACAGCATTATCCCTTATCATCATGTTCCGTGGAGTAACTTAGTGTGGATAAGTAAGTTTCATTTGCTATCAGGGCATAAATCTCACTCATCCGCACGCTGCCCATGTGAACACAATAGCATGCGCACTCGGCTGCCTACTGCGATGGATATAAGTAGCTGGAAACTTCTGATGTTCCTCACTGAACAACCGTCAAAAAAAGAGCAACTTTTGCGCAGTGAATGCATGCGGAGAAATTCGCAACTGGGGTACCCAACTGGAATTCAGTTCGGTCTGTTGTTACAATCTTCTTTTTTAAAAGCAGGTTTCTCCCGCAACGCATTCAAATTAACCTCCCAATACAAAATGGTTTGGAGGGAAATTAAAATCTGCGCCCACCTGCTGAGCCCCAAGAAGGATGAAACCGATTATGCCTTATCGAGGGTTGTTCAGCAATCTTATGACTAATTTGTTACATCAACTGAAATTTTCTACATTTATTGAGCCTTCGGCAACTTTATAAATAGCGAGTTCTGTCAAAACGATTTAATCTCTTTGATCCTCGGCGATTCAGTTAGGTCGGGTAATTAGAAATCACGGTTTGACTGAAGGCACAATCGTCACCCACACTGAAAGTGCCAAGCAGAACTAAACGAACGATACATAGGCAGAAGACAACAAATAAAACTTGAATACAAAAGTAGAGGTGCGACAGGGAATGGAGTATATATAGCGAGAATCCGGTATGAATATAGACCTAGAAAACTTTCTGTGACCTGTTACCCAGTTAGACTTGACAAGTGCCGGCAGAGTTTGGTCAGACATGTTGAAGTGGGATCGGTTGGTGTGATCCAACTTTTTAGATGATGCAGGTGACCTTATTCGAAAACTTTGTTAAAGCCAAATAGGTACGAATGGAATCCAGGGCTATTTAGGCCAACCACATTGTCTTCCAATCGGCTGGTCATATGAGAAAAGCGTGTAGGCGAATTGGTGTAGGTGACAGCTTTCGTTTGTCAATCTGACCGCCAAGGGGCTTGATCTTTTTGCAGTGTGACCATTTGCTTGACGAAGCAACCTACTGACCTGTGCTGAGAAGTTCCAACGTGGTACTTGCACAGAGTCTCTTAACGCAGGCCGATGGTCTTCCAGGTTGGCTGATTGGACATGAAAGCTGGCTTCGTTCACGAGTGGAATGCTAGCGCGTGCACTATGCTTTGTAGTCTGTTAGTTCTTAGGCCATGAACTGGAGCCGAAATGGTCTCCCTCTCCGTGTTTGACAGCTTTGATGCAGGCGTACAACCATTAATTATACGACTTAAAGTGACTTCATGCAACGTCATCGATCAGACGTGGTTATATATCTGAGTAACTTATCTGAACCACACCGGAGAACAGCTGAGCAAAAAATCTATGTTGAGGTCCTTCTTCCAAAGATTCCGGGTGTTTATCTTTAATCTTCACCCAACCCCAGTGACGAAAATCTCTATTCACATCTCACCATTGAGTCGAACAACCATGCTTTTCTCATTAACGTTTAGCGACAACTTTCGTGCACCCACTGGAGGTGACCACTCGAAATCAGTTTTCAAGTACATAAACAAGCCCCTATGGTTCACAATTTAGAGCAAGACGTGCAACAGATGCTCTTACTGGTAGGCTAGATTTCATAATAATTAGCCCATGATGGTTGTTGGAAACCAGGACTAAGAGGGCGACCTTCGTACTTAGAAAACGGAGAACTTAAATCCGTTTGCAGTACAGCGAAAGAGGACAGACTAGAGAACGTTAATGAGTGAACACCAAGATGGAGTTGAAAGCGTACCTTTCTTCATCTTCTCTACTCGAACTGATTTTCCGACAATTCCTTTCCACTACCAGCTAGGTATTTTTCCGTTCAGGCTGCTCATTTTGGAGTTGGTTTTTTCATCAAGCAACCAGTCAAAATAATCTCTGCTTGACAGGATACCCTTTAATCGTCCTTGTTCATGTTTTGTTTTGTAACGTCGGTGAGACCAATTTGGGGGCCACAGATCTATTTCGTTTTGCTTGCTGTAACTTTGAACACACCACAGGCAGATTTTCTCATACTGCTGCTACAGTGAACTATAAGCTGTAGTTTCTTTAGGGTTATGGGTAAATGCAAGTACAAACTGATCAGCTTAGCGTGACCATTCTGTACTAGAAATCAGGTGAACGAACAACTGCTTAGTGCAGCTATAACTTGACCACAGACTGTTTACTGACAGCACCACCTTTCAAAAAAGTGATAACTGCCTGAGAAGATGGTGTCCGTCAGCTAATTAGCACCCTACCTAAAGAATTCACACTTAATGAGTTACCGTCGGTTTAGGCATTTTTGATGTCTCTGTAGACTAGCGTCATGCACTTGTCCACTCCCAATTTGCTTTCTGCATTTACCAGGTACCTATGATGTACACGGACGCCGAATTCGAAAGGGTTTTCATTTGAACACGTGTCCTTCAGCCTCTAACGGTGAATTGGATTTCAGATTATAACTATTACAGAAGAAAGATCTCCAAACCGCATGCGCTGCTGGAGACACTTTCTGTAACAATCCGACCGGTCTCTTTCAAGTTCGGAGAGAGATCCCATCTGGTCACAGCCGAAATACAACTCGATATATTGTAGTAAACAAGCCCGATGAAACTAAGCAAAGGTGCAGACCGATGAGTTGGTGGATTCACAAGTACATCAGAATGCAAGGAGAGAAAAAGCTACAAACATCCTCAAGTTTTATTTGATTTTCACGACACACACCCCAAGATATCACGCCAACGAAACCATTGAGGATTGAAAGAACTCCTCGATTGCTGAAAAATACACCTTACTAAGTAAAAGCTAAAAGTTTGAGCAATGTGACAGTTAACCACTTGTCATCGGACTCTCGGTCTGTAATAGGAATTCGGGCTTTAAAATCTACATGTCTATTTCGAATCTTGTCCCAAATACCCCGTATCTGCCTTGTTCACTGACGTCGACAAAATGTATGTTCATGCCTTCGTGCCCGTCTGTAATGAAGACCGTATACAAAGCAAATGGGGAGACGAGGCAAATGAACGAAACCTAAAGTAGGTGAAAAATAATGCGCCTGTAGTCTTATGTGGTTTCTGGGAAATATTCAATTCGGAAAAAGCTGACGTCTGATGCACGGCTCCACGGACCATCTTATGATGATTTATTTAGGCTATTCTATTTCAATTTTTGTGACAAGATGTTTGACACCTCGGTCTGATATGTGCTGTAATTCATCGTATTTCCTGAATTGCTTGCATATTAATGTGTTCTTATTCTGCCCATTGGGTTGCATGTACAAAACGGAAACACGGAAATTCACTCCTAAATTTCAGTCCTAATTCGGAACACTTCATCGTTAAATTGCTGTTTGTTGGCCGCACACCAAACGATCTGTTAGGTGAGTTGTTAATGCAGAATCGCTGCCGCATTCCAACTAATTCTCACTTAAGTGGAACCACCTGCTAGCATCTGAAATGCAAAAAACCTTGTTGCGATTAGAAACCGCGAGCTGAACATAGCACGAGGGCCAATCACACCGATCAGCTGATCAGACACACTGTTTAAATCACGCAGGGCTGCCTGGTGCGTGCCACTTCAGTTTGCATTGTGTTATTAACGCATTGCCTTTCCTGATACTTCCCAGCTCAGAAGTACGAGGGCGTAGAAACAATGGGTGAACAAGGATCGGACATGGAAAAAATGATTGAAATGTTTTTGGGAATGGACAAAAACGATGACGGATTCGTGGATTTAGGTGAACTGCGAACCGCCTGTCAGGAGAAGAAGTTGGATATGAAGCAAGTGAATGTAAGTGGAAGATCGTGGTTTTCAATCTTCGTAAACTGCTCGTTCGCTTTTCATGGCATAATAACGGTATGTCGGGTAGCGAATACTTGCGGGCCTTCATCTATTTGTTGTCTCATCATGACCTAGCCCCCTGGGTTCCATAGAAACTGTATGCATTAAACAGTAAATTCACTAAAAAGGAGAAATATGACCACATTGAGTGTTTTTGTCACGCTGATCAAGAATGCCGTTAACTTAAAAAATATCGGAACTATAGATTAAGTAAAACCGCAGAAAATGATCTTGGTCTTTGCATGCATTAATCTGGACTTTATACTTCAGCGGAAGTTTTGGGTTCCGTCCACTTGAAAATGGGTTTCGAAGGAGAGAGTGTAAAAAAGAAAATTGCCTTGTAGCAAAAAATACCTGGATCATGAGGTGGAGGTTTGTAGTTCTAGTTGAACGAGCGTACTACCATTTATCCAGTGTTATATGTTCATACAATTTCTATTATTGTATGGGGTCGTAATGCAGTTGTACTTCTCCAGGATTTAGAAAATTTTGAATGTAACAATTAAAAAGAGTGCTATCTGAATTGCAATTGATCTAAGAGGTAACGCACATCTTTTTGACAAACTGAAACCTGTACAGCACTTGAACGTCTACAGGACTTTGAGTTACGCCCTGCCCGTGAAGGAGTTTGATGGTGGTAAAATCTATCGCATCCGTGACCCATAGACCTGTAGACGTTCCTTCTCTCACATTTGTGCCGGTGAGTTTATCCAGCCATCCAGGTGGTTTCTGTCCAGTTCTATATCAAGTGCGTCCCAGCGTTTCGTTTTGGCCCCCTGTTTGCAATACTAAGGTGGTGAGATTTGGAGCACGCAGGAATAAAAGGGGAACAAATCAGACCTAAGACCCACTATCGGATCAGGATGAAGGCATATTTCAAGGTCTTTCACACCACGGACTGATAGTGATCAACCAGGGGAGTATGTGGTTGGCACTTCTAAATAAAGTTCAGAAGACCGCTATAGGGCCAATCCTCAAACAAGAATGTCTCATGATTGACGAGCCCAGATTCTAGGTTTCAGTCTATGTTCAATTTGCTGATCAATTGGTCATCTGACTGAAATAACAAGGCAAATGTTGTTTAGAGTTGTCTCCTGCAGTGGCAATGTAGACTACTCGACAATCATTTTGAAAGAATTACACAAACTGCGAGGCCATGTGTACGAATTATAGTCTTTTCTTATTGGTAAGAGCAGGAACCATGGAAGGGCCGGACTCACACGAATAGAATTTCTGCCTCGCATGGTATGTGGTAGTTCACTTACACATGTGATTAAATCTAGACTTATAATATTGATTACTTATTGTGTCCAACAACCAGGTGGGTCACTTCGAATTGCAGCAAAATTCAAAAGGTTAGGTCTTTCAAATGGAAGTCTATCGGGAAACGCGGTGCGATGATTGGAACACTAAAATATGAATATGAACCTCCAGCTGTAAATTTACGTCGGTTAGTGTACACCAGATAAAGTAGCGACGATTCCAAATGGAACCTTGTGTTTGTACAGGAAACTATACATTTCTCTAAAATCCACACACAATTATTTGAATGGTTTCACAAGGTGACGAACCTCGTGTGGTCATACTGAACAAAGTGCATTATCAAGACCGAAAGTAATCAACGGATTGGCGAAAGTCAAATAGTAGTTAAAAATAAGAATACGGAATTTGGAGTGCACCACTGAAACAATACAAGCAAGAAATTCCATTGCAAACAATGAAAACAGAAAGGGAAAATCATCGGATGGAATAGATACGGTGTTCTGAAAAATTCCTTCGCTGCAATCATTAAGCGACTGTAGTCTATGACTAAAAAACGTGGCTCTATTGCGAAACATTCCATCCCCTTGTTGCAGAGGTGAATATAAAGCGGCCTTCAACCTTCCGAGCCAACCCAAATTGATTAGCTGACAGTGAGACCAGGTTGATCAATCAGTACTGATACAGCTTGTTCATAAAAGAACTTGACAAAAACTATCAGCCTACTCTGAATGTACGGACAAGACCTCATAGGTCTGTTACGAGTGTGGACACATTCCACCGTTCAATTCCCACTTATGATATGGAATCTTCTCCTTTCGTACTGCGGTTTGAAAGCTACGCACCAAACATCAACATGCCGCAGGCTTAATTTTGTTAGTATGTAAATGGAAATACAGCAACTATCACTACATAGGGCCAAATGAAAATACTAGAGTTTTCACACGTTTTCGCCACTAACTTGAAAAGAAAATGTCAGTCACTTTAATGGTTAAACAGTCTGACGCCAATTCGCGAAAGCCAAAAGTGATCTCTAAGCCAGTGTGATGGAACCGGTATGTTCTAAACATGACCAAAATGCTGTTGCAGTATATGGTAGTCTTGAGGACTTCGAATAATGAGACTTCGGATTCAAATTTCAAAAGAGTACCGGTGTTTTAGCGCTGGGATTTTGGTGAAAATCTGGCCTGAGGACGGCAGTCTGCTAATTTGTCACTTGTGTTGCTGAAACGGCGTACTGTGCATTGCTTGTCAAGGACTCCTTTGCTGGTAAGTATATATATATATATATCTTGACTTCCTTTGTCTAGGCTTGGGCAACTTGGCAGTATCCCATCCCTCGTGCAACCTTTTGGTAGCATGGAAGTTAGACACCGAGCGGGTGCTAAGGCTGAAGGATATACATGCAGTGGTCATCAAATGAAGCCGACTACCAAAATTAGCAATCCCAGCCACTACGATAAAGGAGTTCAGGCTCTGCTGGTATTCGGGCCGGATTAACAGCTCTTCCGTGTCTGTTGTAGTGTCCTAACTGACTCCCGAATGCCAGTTTTTCCCCTCTTTCGTGTACTTTATTGAGTCTATCCATTTCTAACTGATTTTTCACATACCGTTCTTCTCCTCTAACCTAACCTTTAGATGTCATCGAAGATTTCCATCTTTCTGTAGTTTACTTAATGAAGTAAGACTTCGTTTAGACTAGGCTGAATAAACAGCGGCAAACATGCGTATACCAGAATTTTGTTCAGTAGGGTAGCATGATCATCGTACATTATAACTGCCTTACATCGCTATGGCACTTATTAGTGGTCACGAACACAGTTTATTCTGTCGTTGTTACGGTCGAGGGAGACCGCTATTGTTGACGAGTGCAAGAAATTGAACACTCGTTTCTCATCCGCCTTCTGTACTTCCGGCAACCAACAGTAAACGAGCTACTTTTGTAAATGCAAAGTAATTGTTGGAAATTTATGCACAAAAATAGGACGAAATTTTTAGCTAGAACTTTTTCTCGTGTAAACGGTATTCATCATTTAACATATTTTTAGTAACATGATTCCATTTTGGCATTAATGTCGTCCTTTTGATATAGAGGTAAAACTGCAAACACCAGAAGTAACAAACTAAAACAGTTACCCTATCACGCGATCATGAAGTATTCTCAGTAAAGACTATCATCAGTTAGATATCCTTTCTTGTTTCGTGTTCTATATACTTTCACATCACATCGTTACTCTAAACGGCTTGGTGTAAAACTACTCTTTCGTAAGCCTAGATGAAAGTGCAATAAACTCTTTCATGAGCGCAAAGGCTAACTCAAGCAATCCAATTTGCAACTTATGAAAGCATATCCGAGTGCTAATAAAATTATTAGTCGCTCAATGTGTTTCTTCAACATTCAGACCTATAAAGGGTCATGGTCTTGAGTGAAGGAAGTACCTTACTCCTTCCTCTGAATGACACAATTTTGTTGAATTAACATGCTGATTGAAGAAAAATCGAATCAGAGAGGTGGAATGTAATTAGTATGAGAGGTAGAAAGTGCATAGTTTGTCACAGTGTTAGGTTATTTTCATCAGAATAACGAGTAGATTTTTAAGACAATTTCGTGTGTGTAATATAATCAAATAACTTGATTGTTGCTCCCTGCGTATTTACACCCCAGTCACCTTTAGATGTCTTACAGAAACCATCCTTATAGTCTTTACTTTGTTGTATGGAAGTTAAGCGCCTCCAGTAGCACAATAATACGTGATTTTCCTGGCCTTATAGTGCCATGTATGAATTTCTTTTCAGTACATGATTTATTAACTGGGCTCACTGGCTCGCCAAATCTGTTGCCTCTTCCTAAACTGCAAGAAGCTGTTGTTGGATGGGCCTTGAACTATAGACATTTGTCAGTTATTGATTTTTCTGGCAGTTCTCAGACATACAAGGTAAAGTTTCCTCGTCAGATTACGCAAACCATTATCCACCTAAAGCAGGCAGTGATTTGTTGGTTTTCGCTAGCTGTAGAAGTCACCAAATATCAAATTGACTAAAAATACACAGTTTCAACTAATCACTCAAGGCCTAATGATCACAAATCTAATATTTATTTTCATCAGTACCTGCTTCATCCGCTGTGGTTTTTGATAAAAAAAATTGACGGCAAGAAGCAGTTGAAAAGTAGTACTTATGCTATTCTTTTTTACCACGGAGCCCTGGTTCCAATCCGGGCTCCTTCACGTTTGTCAAACTTTGCAGTTCACTCGCTAAGCTGGGTTGCTCATATTGTGTTACACACTACTGAATGTAATGCTCATATGTCCCAGTAGTGTGCAGTGGAAGGTCATATGTAGGATCTTGTATGTGGGACTGACTTCCTAAAAGTTTCTTTATTAGTTCCAGGACATTGTTGAGTATTATGGTTGTGTGGGGAGGAATATCCTTAACGTATTTTATTGTGTCATTGGGACTGATTTCCCGTCGCTGCGAACAAAACCCCTCATAGAGTGGACGCATCCGGAACAATCAAAATACCCCTCAATACAGGGTAACCCACCTACACGACTAAATGATCAAAACCCCAACGATGAGCAAGTTTTACTCACGCTAATTTGCGGAAATTNTCAATACAGGGTAACCCACCGACACGACTAAATGATCAAAACCCCAACGATGAGCAAGTTTTACTCACGCTAATTTGCGGAAATTTAATGAGGTCTCTGTTGCATTCTGAAGCCATTTATTTTCATAAGCAGCCGAACAGTCTGATTGCGGACAACCGTTCTGCGATACTTTGAGTGAGTCATCTACGCTGACTCCATAAACTTCATAGCCCCGCAGCTTTTCGAAGATGCCACTTTTGCTTCGCCACTAAGCAACAGCTGTGTAGTCAGTCGGTGGCTTGCGCGAGTTTATTGGCGGCCAACAAGGTGGTGGATGATAGACCTACCAAGGACGATAACTAGCTTCTATAAGTAAACCCTGTGGCTGCGAAAAACGCTACGCTAGACAAACCGGAAAAAGATATATCCAACAGACTAGATGGATGTCAACTAACCTAAGCTAACTATACATGTAAACGACCGACCAATTCTCACGGTTGTCGTACAAGAATATCGGAGATGACAATTTTAACTGATCCCAGACAATGAGAATACAGATTGTAAATTTACGGTAGATAGAATGAGGTTGACCCAACTTATCAACCGCTTAAGAAAAAAGTACTCCTTAACACTTAGTACCAATACTGAATAAAAAGTCAGGGAGTAGAAATTTCTTGGATGAAATCAAAACTACTGGGCTGAACGCGAACTAGTGACGTAACACAGCTGGAAAGTGCGTCAAGCAGAACGATGCTTTGTGAACCGAGCACCAAACAGGAAAACAAACCAGGACGCAGCAGGGATGGTGGCTTCACCCATCGAATCACGTACCATTCTAACATCAATCGGCCTACATAGCAATATATATATATATATATATTATTTGCCGGTAATAGGCCATCTGTGGAGAAGTAAGTGTGGGTATTCTCACCCAGAAGTCCATGGATATATCTCCTCAATTGTTGGCGAAACGCTTGCAAACCAATTGTCAGACTGGGCCAATAGACCAACTGTCAACCTATCGTTCAAAGCCTGACATCAAACCACCAGGTTCTCTTTCAGAGAATTCTAAGGTTAACGAAAGAAATTTCCACAATTCCGCTTAATTTTGAAGCTTTATTTCGTGCTTTTTTTGGGTTAGCCCAGCGTGCAATAGGGGATCAAATTCGGGAAACGCTGCACCCACTGTTGCACACCGTCACTAGTCTCACTCAACAAACACCACATTTCCTGCACATTTATGTACGAGACATAAAAATATTATACTTTTCTGACATTTAGCCAAGTTAGCATACTATCTGTTTACTAACATTGGGCTTAGAATTAAGCTTGGCGCCAAAAACCGTTCATGACCGTTTTTTTCTTTTGGCTGTGTGAAAGAGCACATCCGTCAGTTCAGCGCTCGACCTAGGAAGCTAACCCTGATGAAAAGCCACAGGCGAAAGGAAAAGGGATTAATGTACACCCGTCGTCCCAGATTTTGCTGAGGTAAGGTATTGTAGCAGATTCGTTTAGTAGTGTGAATAATTTTTTGGGGATGAATTCCAAGTGATTTCAAGGGGCTATGTGGAGGTGCACTATCCGTTGCAGAAGTTTGGCTTCTGGAACAATCCCCAAGATTAGGGTTCGCAGCAAGATAGATGTAAGTGCCTGGAAATAAGCCGAAACATGTGTAAGTGGGGGATTTCCCTTGTCAAGAGATCCTTCATTCATAGATTTTGTGTGGTAGGGCTTCGGTTGAATAGCTAGTTGAGCGATTCCAAGTGTACCGCATACCTGAAATGAGAATAGTTTGTGTGAACAATGATAACTTTTGTGTACATTCATCAGAGACGATCAGAATTGATCGAATTGCTGAGCAAATATCATAGCTTGGTCTTTTAAGGGTTGCATTGACTCAGGTGTGTTAAGCAGGATTTTTCACAAATGGTACTGCGTATAAAAAACTGCATGCTGTGACCAAATACACTGGCTAGTAACACACCGTTATGTGAATTGCCAAACAAAACCAAGGCAGCATATTTACAGCGTCTCTTAGCAACCGTGTTCGATAATATCGATCTTTTAGGAGTTGTGTGACCATTGTGGATGTGTTCAGCACACCACGCAGACATGCGATTATCGCTAATCGATTGAACGGCGTTGTCGCCTGTTTTCTATTAACTTAGCATGTAAGTCATCTGGGACACTCGCTATAAATTTGGCAGTTTGAAAGCCTCTGTGAACCCAGTAATAATGATATTCAAATGTTTATCCGTGAGATAGCAAATGGTATTCCGAGCCAGAAGTACCTACTGGCAGATCTGTTTACAAATACAACTTGGAGGAATCTTTCCGATACTGATTTTTCGAAAACATTTCTTTGCATTTGCAGGGTTGGTTGTCAAGATACGATACAAACAAAGATGGAAAAATCAGCTTGGATGAGTTTTGCGATGGTCTTGGACTTGGAAAGCAAGAAATGTGAGTATCTGACTGGGAATTACTCAGATATTTTGGGGCTATTGCTTGGGGAACCGAAATTGCTCTTCTCGACTGATTCAAGTATTTCAGGCCAACCGTGTTTAGAATGTTATTGACACTTGGTAAAAACAAACTGACGTCTTGGAGTCTCCGTTTCATACACGTAATCTCAGATAACTTGGCTGCGTAAACCGAAAACAAAGACACATGAGACCCTGATGTTGCCATCCCAGCTAATATCCAGACGATCTATTTTCAAAAGAGATTATGTAGCGACTCGCTCTAACAACGCGTCGTCAGCTAGCTTGCAAATAGCCATGATAACTGCTGCCACGGTAGCTAAACTATTGCAGTCGCCTAATCTCATTCCGAACACCACTCTGTTTTGACTAACATAACCAATGATGGCGCTGGACTTATTTGAGAACTCCAAGAGAGCAGCTGGTCCATATTGAAATAGCAAATAGTATATAATGACTACCCAACACATCGATCCACCACTCTTCGAGGAATTCAGCTTCATGGTCTTGTTTCACGACCAGCTATCCAAAATGACTCTAATCGACACAGTGTCTGAACTGACCAAGGTCTGCACCTATTAGTTGATTTTTTAATGGCCAATAAACACAACAGTCAATCTTTATAGTGTTGTGTATAACGTTTGATTTCGGTAGCAAGACAAAAACATACTGAGATCTTTGTTAGAAGGATCAATGGAAGCATCTTCTCAGACGGCTTCGGGTTCCTTTGAAGCATCTTTAATGAATTTCGCTCTCTCTGGCACGACAAGTCTGAAACCAGTGGATATGAGAACATATGAACATGTTTGCAATCTAAAAACTCCTGAAGGGCTATTCACCATCATCTATTCTCAAAGTACTCGAGTAAATTCCAGCCGTCCTCTGGAGCCTATTTTAACCGGTGCATATACTGTCTATGGCGTCGCTTGACGCGAACTCATCCATCAAATATGTGGCGCTAATGCGTGTGAGACTTTCTTTGAAATAGCATTTTTCACTTAGATAGAGTTTAGCTGTTCCTTCTGAGAGGTTTTAACACATCAGAGAACCAGTAATTAGGCAGAGTTAGAGCACAAAACCATGATCCAAATAAATTGTTCGTATTTTGTGAACGAACCAAAATATGGGTTTGGATCAGCTGAATCGTTCTTTTCCGGCTAAAGTTACAGTGACAAGCACCTGGTGGTACATAGCAAAACCAACATGGCCGAACACGGACTAAATTTGGTGGACTACATACAGTCGATTAGGCACAATGGTTCATGAAGCACACAGAGACTCGTGTTTGTATGCGAAACGGCCAGCTATTCTAGAAAGAAAAACATTACCGAAAAACGAAACGGAATGCACACTTCTCGTTCATATGCGTTCTTAGTTTTTCGCAGACGTATACCAGAGTTTTGAATTCACCATCGTGGCTTCATGGTTCCTAAAAAGAAAGCTGTATTTAATACTGTGTTTGTTCTGTATCTCACTCAGTTTGCAGAAGCAAGACGCTGAAATGTGGCTTCATGGTTGAGTATATCAATGTGAGGGATATTCAATTTTGAAACTACTTCATTTTACCTTTAGTGCAAAATAATCATCAGTGGTTTCCTGCAGTTTGCACAAGAAGTTTTTGGTGGGTCCAAAACCCAAGGGTTACGTTGATGTGCCAATAACCCCAAAGGTTGGCCTCCTCTGACGACTCTGATGACTGTCTCATTGAGTAGGTTCTACGTTCAAGCCGATGAGGTTTATCAAGCGGCGCTGAATTAGATATCAGGAGAAATCAACTGTGGAGGACACTTTCGTCCTCTGAGTTATCGATATTAGAACTTGTTTTTCGCATCAGCCTGTGCGTTTGACTTTCAGCAAGGCAAGAAGCGGACAACTACTAGTTCGTCTCTAGGTGATCAACAGATTTTCCGAAATCTTATCCGAAATGGAAGTCCGTTTAATTCGTTTTGCTATTCACTGGTGGCATAAATCTGACAAATTCCTCCGTACTTTGGAACCTGCAGCATTCGGGTTAGCGCCTGGGCACTGAAAAGTTCTAACGCAATTAGTCGATAAACAATATGTGTAACTTCTGCTCCCAAACAACTCTTGATCCTTGTTCCACATCAAAGAATTCCACTTCACGTGGTCTGACGTTGGCTAGCTTCTCGGATAATAGCTGATAATATTAAAGTGACGTGCAATTTATGGAATGCCATTTTTCTAAGCAGCCCATCGCAGCTGAATACCGCAGCGTTCCGAATTCAGTGCAAAAAAACTGGCCTTCAAAACCCCCCTTCGGTTCCCAGCGTCACTGAAACTGACCTACCATTCTTCTTAAGTCTTACGGTACATCTATATCACTTGTATAAATAAGCCAAGAAAGTGACTTCGAAACCTCGCTAAAGTCATACGTGCCTGCTTAAGCAGCGAAAGTTTCATGACACTGGAACATCATCATCTCGAGGTTCACAAGTATGCAAAAACCCTCAGAAGGAATCAATGATTACCAGTCGGTAAGTAGGAAAGAGGTGATTGCTTTCTGAGTCATTGAAACAGTAGTAAATGTTAACAAGAACCTTTGTGGCCCCATTGATTCTGCAGTTTACACACACGGTCCAATGTGTCTCGTTGTACTTCCGTTTAAGGATTGTGGAGAAGGAGGAACGCGATATTTCAAACACCAAGATTTGTCCAACTATCGCTCACGAGATCAAACCACTGGACACAACAATGTCTGTAGCCAAACAAGCTCACATTACAGACAAATTTATTGAGTTGGCCAAGGAAGTGTCCAGTGATCCACATAAGATGAACCAAGTGGCCGCGAAGATGAAGCGCTTCTTGGATGAACAGTATGGGAGAGTGTGGCAGGTAATCGTGTTGGCTGGAAGTTACTGGATCAATTACTCTCACGCTCCTTTCCTATCGATGCAATTCCAATATGGACCGTACATTTGTATTGTATGGCGTACCACCATCAACTAATACGGATTTGACCCACGGCGTATTCGTGAACATGACCAAATCTATCCACTAATATTTCTCAAGAAACACTCTTGCACAGTCTATAGTGCCACTTCTGTCTTAGTGCCCAAGCAGTAATGCGAATATGAGTAAAACAAGTATGCCTGTAATTATGTGTCAAAGCATTTCAATATATTCGCTATGTTCATTCCACGCTTCAACTGTGGTGTAATTACGCTTGAATGAGTACACCAAATGGAGAGCAGTTGATCATGTTTTCGAATTTTGCAGTCCTCGGATGTAGCATAATTCTTCAATAGCCATAGGTGTTAAAACCCGTTAATCTGTGACCAGCTCAAATGAACTGTGCTTCTTCTCTAGGGGTTGCCATACTTTCTGAGAACAAAAGCAAAATGATATCCATTTTCTCCGCGTGTAAAGCAACAGTTATTCTGGCCAATTTTTCGACTTTATTCTTGGTTAACAAAAAAGTTCCCAATTTTGAGATTTAAGTTTAATTATTCGCCGTTAGACCGATTGCGACTGGTCTTTTTTGGTAAAGATTCACACAAGGCCTCAGAGGATTAGAGACCGGTTAACTAAACTTTCCCAAACCCACAAAAAAAGAAACAGTCTTCGGTGTTGTGCAATTAGCCGGGCTCATCGAAATTGCGTCGGTAAAGCGAGACAACGGGGTGTTCATTACTGGATGTCTAGACATTCTACCGTGAAGTGGCAGCTCAATATGATGAAAACTGGAAGCCAAATTTCAATAAATTACCCCAAAGTTGATCTTTTGAATGAGCTCGTTGGCTGCGAACCTGAAGTGTTGCTTGCAACGTGGTCTGCAGGCTGAGTGTACCGCAGCAAGGACTCGAAAGGTGCTGGCCCCCCTTTCACCCATCAGCCTGAACGGTTACTTCTCCAAATCCACTTTGAGAGTAACATGAAAATAGGTTCATATGGCACACATTCCTGCAGTCCTCAGGACAACTTATAATGTAATCCAGCCTATTGGTGCAGTGGTGTGGATCTCAGTAGAATTGAGAACACAGGGAATATTTAACCGAAGTTTTATTTCGGTTCTGTGAATTTTCTGCGCACGCACTGTGAAATTACACCTGCTTTGTAGCACCCACAGTGCCTCTCTGGATTTGAATAAATGGGACCTCTAGTGTTCCGGAAAGGCAAGCCCGTTTCTCCTATTTTAGTGGTCACTTAGTGAAAAGATAGGTGGATCTTTCTAGGATGGGTATCCCTCATCATCGTGCGTTCTCGTTGCGTCAGCAGTTAAGGGATGTGTAGTTTTATTCTATTCCAGAAAGCGATTACATCTTCGCATTTGTGCCAGAAAAGATTTTACCTAATCATACAGCTGACTAAATTTCTACTTCGACGAAGATAACAAACAGCGCTGTTGGTTACAATAGAATTACAAAACTCAATGAGCAGTATGTCCACCAACTTCACAACCAGAGCTAACGATTTTCGTCTTCTAAAGGTCACCTGCTTGTGTGTAAAATAAGTATTTTGAGTCGCGATGTTTCTGAGATCTATATTAGACTTTCAATTATTCATCCTACATTTTTTTCGATTTTCTTGTATTCTCAGCATTACAACTCCATTCATCTAATAATGTATTCGTATTCGAGTGTTCATCACCACTGAATTAGTGATAATATGATCTTTCTATAGAGAAAGAAAGAAGCGAAAAACCCCGTATCAACTTAATAGAAGCTTCTTTTATGTATATGAAGCTAACTGATGACGACTATGCATTGCACGTCTGTGGCGACAAGGTCTATCCAGTTATCTTTGGATATTGACGGTACGCTTATCAAAGTAAAAACAGTGCCGGGTTTAAGCTTGTGAAAGATGGTGGGTGCCTGTCGCCAAACTAACACGAGGCATAATGAAGTTGGGGCAGAACGTCTGTGATCTGGTCCACGAACTAAGGAGCTTAATCAAGCTTCATCTTTCAATAAAAAACAGTGGTATGGTTCTATCTGGACGCGTGTTTGACCGAGCGCTTGCCTCAACAACAATATTTCCGATTAAAAAGACTTTATTCGGATGTAACTTTATCCTGTAGCATGCATGCTATCAATCAAACTGGCAGACATCGTACACTACACTGGCCCCTTTTTGAAAAACATCGTCCACGGTGTGCCGTGGCCCACGTGAACCGGCCGGAGTTAGTCGTATGCCGCCAGGCTGGTGAGCGTATGCAGAGGTTTCTGTATCTGGCGCTGCGTCCGCCTTGTGTGATTGCGCAACGTGTTAGCTCTGAGGCTTGTGTGCACATGTGTAGAGCCAGGGTCTATGTGGTGGGTCCACCAGTGTGTGGTAACCATCCTGGCTTGGTCGCCAAATATGTCGTATGCACGCTATGGAAGCGCCAGGGGGCAATGATTCTCCGAGGCTAGATGTTCGTGATGGGAAGCACAAACAAACATAATTACCCGAGGCGCAGTAAGCGAGGGTGTAGATCAACAATACATACATAAACCAAACTGACAGACACCGTGCACTGGAATCCTATCACCAGGTCAGACGCAACAAATCCAGACAGCATACATGGATAATTTTGATATGTGGGTCATATTACGACCCAGTGCTTGCTGAGGGTGGCCCCGGTGAGTTATAATCTTCCCTTGTTCATACAGAGTAACATGTGACATGATGGCCTTAGAAGTAGTTGTTAGCGCTGACAAGCACAACTAACCATCCAATGAAAGTGTTCACTGCGCAAAGGTAATGCACTGAAAACTGTATGAAATATTAGTCACCGTTTAAGTTAGGGAACTCCTCCGTTGATGATACAATTTCTTTCATTCTGCCACTAGGGGGTTACAATAAGTGGAGGAGGCCCTTTACTCACAATGGACATTTGAGGTTTCTTCTTAATGTAAGACCATGGATTTCATAAGCTAGACTTTCTTTTGCAATGAATGCAGTATTTCTTCACATTTTTCGGAGCAAAGTTTATAAGCAAGGAAGTTTCGTGCGTACTTAGCGTTGCTAGACATTTGTTACCTAAATCTACGGATGATGAATCAAGTTTCACTAATGCGCTCGAAAGGTAAACTTGTCACTTTATATGAATGCATATTTAACCAAAACACACCACTATCTATTCTGTCAGAGGAACTTCCCGTTTCCCGTACAATCACTATTCGCTCCTGAAAATGTTGCCCATTCTCAGAATGACGACAATCACTGCTCTAATGCAGGGGCACTTCAAAAGCCATGGTAGAAAGTCCAGTTAACTCAGCTGAACAAAATCTACGTTACTGACGCCCTGATATTTACTAGTGGAGACGGTTTTAGTTTGTTTTGACCTTATTGATATTTCATTCACTGAAGAAATTCAGTCATCCGTAAGTGAGCTTGTGGTTACCGAGAGTGCCAACTGAGTCCCTCGATTATGATTGTCTTCAATGTTTCCTCTGTCACGACTTTCGAGGAAAATAGAAATAGACCAACCTGTTGAGCTTCCAGAATGGTCGAAAGATCTCGGCTCATACACTAAATAACCAGCTAAGAGCCTGCGGCACAAAACAACTAAAGAATAGATCGAACTAAGTGCCATCGAATTCAACATATTACTGGTCCAGGCCACCTAATTGACACTGTGACAGCCTTCACCGGAATATTATGCGACATGAAACCCTTGACTTTACGTAGGCCCATGTTGGTAATAATACGGCAGCCTAAACTACACGTGCAACTTTGTTGGTTGATATTGTCTGGCAAAATTGGAAATAGTCTCCCTTAACCTAGATCGGCAAGGCTGCAAGTTGTCAATCCATAACCCGGAACACATAAAACCTGATGAGTAAAGTTTATCATACAACCCTGCCCTGCAGTTAAACATGCCGGATGCTTGAATGAAGTGCGACAATGCACAATAAACTCTGTTTCAAATACACTTAAATTAATAACCCATATCATCCGTCTGCCTCACTAGCGGCCTTGAATTGTTCATCCAGTTTTTGTGTGATATTACGTGCAATTTTGATTGATCCTGCCAAGTGACGAACGTAGAACGTACGTTTCGTGTGGAAAGCAACCAGATATAAAGCATCGCTGGTCACCGAATCATTTGATTCCGTCCACGTGAATACTCAAATTTCCAAAAGTTTTTCAATTAAGACTTTCAAACAGATCGCTGGTCACTCACAATTCTCATCAATTTCGCCCATGAAAATTATAAGATGCTGAACTAGTCGAGTTCGCTCAAACTGCGTTCTATGATGAGAACTGTGTGAATGTTGGTTACCACGGTTACCAGAAAGTTGAATATTTCAACTTGAAAGATGCTAGAAAAATACGAGTAATGGTTACATCCATAAAAATTTTGTACAGTGAACCACGAACCGAGGCATATCAAACTGCTGATTTACATTCCACCCTTTCTGGGTTGAAAGTCAGCTAGCCTATCGGTTTTAGATTAACGTGGATCCACAAAGAGAGAAGTAGGTCAACAAGCGATGATGTTGGATTCCGTGATTGAAGGATACTTGATGCGGTATCATCTTTACGTACGAGTGCTTCAAGCAGCCGACGAAAAACTGGCATGCGAACGGTTTAGTCCTAACTAATAGTCCGGAGTTGCACGTTCGAACGAACCTATGGGTCCCTAAGACGCTCACTGATGAAGGTTTCTGGCCAAGATGAAGTGTTTGTATATTGCTTTTCGACTCATCAGCTTCACTGAGGAGGACAGCCCGGTTGAAGAAAGGTTTTGGTACCTGAAGATTCAAGATGAAAATAATGCTGCTAGTTTCAGAAGGGCTTATCAAACAAACAACTGACTAGCGAAATACACTTATTTGCAAACAAACCTGATTTTGCGAGTCACTCACCTGGAACCCTGATAAATCTCTCGTTTGTGATGTTTCCAGGAAACTGGAGGTGCGGTACTAGGCCGCCTCATGTTTCAGTTTCTACCACATTCGAAATATCGCGTATGCTAGGTTATCTGGTCTGGAATTTGACACGGGCTTAGAAGTAAATCAATTCAGATTCAGCACATGGTCGCACTTGAAGAAATACGTGTTGACTATTCTGAGCTTTACGGCAAGCGCAGATTATTTATTTGACGCAAAACAACGATCGAAATGCACCGGTTGTCAGTATGCAGGCCAGCTGCCACCTCAAATCTTTCCTCGCGGGATAAATCACAAGTTGCCGAAACTCCAATTCGTTGTATTATTTATGGTGCCCTGGTGGAGTATTTCTAAATAGAAGCTGTTTGGTTTTTGAAAACATTCACAAGTAATATATGTGTGTAGCAGACGATATTTCCGCTGAATTCCACATCTGGTTGAGAAAGTCTCACTAGTCCATTTACGTTGGCAGTTCTTCATGACTTTGCGTAGTTCTAGTTTAGAAACGAATGACGTGTTAAACCGGACTACTTTGCAAGCACCATTCACTGTAAA